TATTGTGACACCAATATATATTCCTTTTAAAAAAAAAAAAAAAAAAAAACTTTTTTATTTTTTCATCCTTATCTTTATTGTACCATTTAGTTTATTATAAATATAAAATAATAATTCAATCCTTATCTTAGAGAGATTTTCACACCCTAAGAAATGCTTCGTTCCCCTCTTCAACCTATGTGGGGGACCTCACAATCCACCCCCTTTAGGGGCCAATGTCCTCATTGGCACACCGCCCGGTGTATTGTCCGTTTTGGCCATTGACCTCATAGTTTTACAACGTGTCTACTGTAGAGAGGATTTAGCCCTACTTTGACCAGTGCCTTACATCGTTTGGTGACTGACTTTGATACCATTTGTAACAGTCCAAGCCCATCGCTAGTAGATATTGTCCGTTTTAGCTCATTACATATTGTCACGGTTTTAAACTGCGTCTAGTAGAGAGATGTTTCATGTAATGACCCAGATCTAGCAAATATTGTCCCCCTCAAGGCTTTAACACGCCTGTTGCTAGGGGAAGGTTTGGATCACATTTCAACACTCTAAAAATAGTGATTTCAACACTCTAAAAATAGTGCATTCAACACTCTAAAAATATTTCGTTTCTCTCTCCAGTCGGTGTAAGACTTCACATGTACCTACAATCTCACTTCATTATGCACAAACTTGGTGGAATAAGGACTCTTCTAAGAGAAGACACCAAGAGAGTTGAGTGGCAACATGGCTAGAATTGAGAGATCTAATGAGCAAGTAGTTTATAAATAAACATGTCCACCTACGTTCGACTGTTACATTACTTTTACATGTTCAAGAGCAAATATGATTATTTCTACAAACTAGGATCAAACCATTACATAACATTATTTTAAAAAAAAATAGTGTTAAAAAAGCGATTGTGAGGCACTTGTTCTAATCCAACGAACAAGTTAAAGAAATTCAGTCGCTGCTGACAACGTCAACGTATATTGGAGACTCAAATCCCATTTACAAGAAATGTTTTAGAAAACGTGAGCGAACGTTATATGACTCTGAATGCATTAAAGGGTCAATTTTGAACCGTCTGTGCATACTTCAAAAAGATAGTTTTACCCACTTCATACTCGATCTTCCCAACATATGGGAGTGCAAAGACCATGACAAAGAGGGACTGCAATTTGATAACGAACTCAGGTCAATCCATCGAATCGTTGCAAAAACCGAACAAAACCCACAAATAAAATAGAAAAAAAAAAAAGGAAGACCTTGATTATATATAAATTGATATGGGTAACAACATAGAAAAGAAAAATGATAGAATTGGAATGAAGAATCGAATGAGAATAAAAAAAAAGAACATGTTTTTTTTTTCTGTCCCTAAATTAACGGTCTGCCGAAGTTCCCATTACTGCCTCTGGCTTGGCTTTGGCCCTCAAATATATATAGATAGATATATATATATATATATATATATATATATATATATCACCAAACCCTAATTTGAGGGGCTTAAACCAAACCAAACCTCTTCTTCCTTTTTTATTCTCTTTTTTTTTAATTTTTTTTTCTCTTCTGTTCTGTACACGTCATTATTCCCTTTTTATTTTTCTCCCAATGATTGCATTACCGAACATGCCACTGCTTGAGCCCAATGTCTTAATTTTGCCTTCACTTGCTTCGGATCTTGCCCTGAACAAATTCATCAAAATTACACCTTTTTTCAATTCCTTTTAATTTCATTATAAACAATCTCAAATCTCTCCTTACCTGGGCTGCAAACCCTCCATGTTTCACAATCACCCCTCGGGCTCTCACACGATGAACCTCGTCCCCCGAGCGACGACGACGTCGATGTGCTACTATGCGGCGTCGACACTGGACTCGGCGAGAGTTGTCGATTCACGGCGAAGTATAAGTCAAGAGCTGGTAATGTACCACACAACTTATGTCCGTCTTCCTCGTTGAATGCAAACCCTAATTCGATACACCCTTTTAGCTCATTCCAATCTTCGTCTGTTAAGTCATCTCTATCGGTCGAGCCACCGTTTCTAGGTCGGAGCATTTGTCGTCGCCGTTTCTCCCATGCGAGATCTCTTGGTGTTTCGCACATTGAAAGTTGTTTTGATAAACGTTTCTTGTTTTTTAAACATGATGATGCTAATTGCATGTGTTTTAGCTCGTTATCTTGCTCGTAGAGTGATGAACATGATGATAATGGCGATAGAGCTGATGTGATTCTTTTTAAGCGTTTGTTGTCCATTAGGAGTTCGGCGGTGGCGGCTAGTGATAACCCGCCAACCGCGCTTACGAGGAGAGGGCCGGGTCGGGACTGGGGACGGGAATGGGGGAAGTTGGGAAGTGTCTTGGTTGAGAATGGGAAGAAAGTCGCAGCCAGCCCGACCGAGTGAGGGCAAAGAAGATGGCGGAGGCTTTAATGGTGAAAGGGAAGGAAGGATGGCCATGTCTTTACACCGTTACTTTCTAACCATTCTCCTCCTAACATTCAACACTCCTAATTTAGTTCTTTTTTTATTTCTATTTTTAGAATTCAAACACTTCTCCTTTGACAATGTAATTTAATAATTATTATTATTTAAATATTTTCAAATTTAAAATGACGTCATAATTGACCCCAAAGTCCCCCTGGGTCACAATTGACCACAATCGCTAGTCTATTGCCTAAAAAGTGTTATTGTGACAAGTGGTATTAGAGGTTGGTGAGCTCCTAGTCTCGTCATAGACGGAAAGGATGTTGGTACCAAAATAGTTGGCTGAGTTGCAAGTCGAGCGACACACTGAGATTGAATATGACATGTCATTCTTAAAAGAAATCTCTGACACTGTCTGCTTCCGAGAAGGATGAGTGGTAGAATTATGGAAAATTCGATGGATTGAAGCAATTGGCCTCTGCCCAGATGAGTTGCCAATAAAAAAATTGATATTTAAGGTTGACTCCCTACAAAAGAGAGCTATATGATTGGACACTGGAACGGGGAGGTATCTTTGAGAGCACTGTCGCACACATGAAAGGATGTGTTGAAGAGCTAGACATTATTACACAATAGACCATGTTGAAATTCTTCCGTGATTTAACGGAAGACTTTAGGACAACAATAGATGCCATCAAAGTTGAGATGGCTAAAATGAACATTCGAGTGAACTTGATCATGCAGGCCGTAGAACATCAAACCTCGGATCAAGCTCAAGATGCAAAGGAACTAGAAATGTCATCTTCAATGTCGAACAGTACTTCAGAATCACACGGACTTGTTCAAAAGAACTTAAGGTCTCTTTGGCAAAATGCATCTCGTAGACGATGCAAAGCTATGGTGGCGTTGGAAGGTGAATGACATTCAAAATGGGTCATGCACCATAAGCTCATGGGAAGACCTTAAGAAGGAATTGAGGACTCATCTTTTCCTCGAGAATGTTGAATTCATAGCAAGGTGGAAGTTGTGAGAACTGAGACCCAACGGAGGAATATGGAACTATGTTAAGCCGTTCTCAACTTTGATGCTAGACTAGGGATATGTTTGAGAAGAACAAAGTATTCTGCATTGTCGAAGGATTGCAACCCTGAGCCAAAACAAAGGGTTCAAAATTTTGATTCCATTACATCTGTATACTCGTGAAATTTAATTACGGTAAATCGGGGAGAGCTCCGAATACTTTGAGAGTTACTGTACTAAATTGAAATAGTGTAACAGCTCAAGGCTTCTAGGAGAGATTTCCACCTTTTATTTCTAAACATTAAAGCCTATTTTCTCCTCCCACCAAAGAGTTTGCGTGGCCTAATGGATAAGGCGCTCGCCTCCGGAGCGGGAGATTGTGGGTTCGAGTCCCATCGTGAACGAATGTTTTAATTGTGAAAGAAACTTAGTTTTTTGCCACCAAAGAGTTTGCATGGCCTAATGGATAAGACGCCTCTGAGATTGTGGGTTTGAGTCCCATCGTAAACGAATATTTTAATTGTCAAAGAAACTTAGTTTTTTGCCAACAAAGGGTTCTCGTGGTTCTCGTGGCCTAATGGATAAGGCGCTTGCCTCCAGAGCAGGAGATCGTTGGTTTGAGTCTCATCGTCAAAGGGTTCTCGTGGCCTAATGGATAAGGCGCTTGCCTCCAAAGCAGGAGATCGTGGTTTTGAATCCCATCGTGAACTAATATTTTAATTGTCAAAGAAACTTAGTTTTTTGCCAACAAAGGGTTCTTGTGGTTCTCGTGGCCTAATGGATAAGGCGCTCGCCTCCAGAGCAGATCCTGGTTCTCGTGGCCTAATGGATAAGGCGCAAGCATGATAACTTATATGCTGTTCTATATCGCCATGAATCTAGGAACTTTTGCTCGCATTGTATCATTTGGTCTACGTACCGAAACTGATAACATTCGAGATTATGCAGGATTATACACAAAAGATCCTCTTTTGGCTCTCTCTTTAGCCCTATGTCTCTTATCCTTAGGAGGTCTTCCTCCACTAGCAGGTTTTTTCGGAAAACTTCATTTATTCTGGTGTGGATGGCAGGCAGGCCTATATTTCTTGGTTTCAATAGGACTCCTTACGAGCGTTGTTTCTATCTACTATTATCTCAAAATAATCAAGTTATTAATGACTGGACGAAACCAAGAAATAACCCCTCACGTGCGAAATTATAGAAGATCTCCTTTAAGATCAAACAATTCCATCGTGAACGAATATTTTAATTCTCAGAGAAACTTAGTTTTTGGCCACCAACGAGTTTGTGTGGCCTAATGGATAAGGTGCTTACCTCTGGAGTGGGAGATTGTGGGTTCGAGTCCCATCATGAACGAACATTTTAATTAAACTTAGTTTTTGGCCACCAAAGAGTTTGTGTGGGGTAATGGATAAGACACTCGCCTTTGAGATTGGGGGTTCGAATCCCATCGTGAATGAATATTTTAATTATCAGAGAAACTTAGTTTTTTGCCACCAAAGAGTTCACGTGGCCTAATGGATAAGGCGCTCGCCTCTGGAGTGGGAGATTGTGGGTTTGAGTCCCATTGTGAACGAATATTAAAGTTGTGAGCTCTTATAAACTTGAGTAAATGCTTATTAGGATAAAATTTTTCGAGTCCAACGATTAGTCTTAGTTCATGAACGACAAACATAACGGTAACAATGCTACCAACAACAGAACAGAAGAGTAGCAGCCCCAAATGTTGAGCATAATCTTCAAAAACCATTCCCAGATCACCAAGAACACACTCTTTCTCTAAGCACAACTACTAGTAAGAACACATCTTGTCACTACAAATCATAACTACAAAACATTTACAAATTTCATATTACCAAAATCCAGTTAAAACTCAAAAACAAAACAAAAACAACTCCTTTTAGAACATCCATATGCCAACAATGCAACATACAAGATGATGAACTCAGTTCATGACTCAACTGTTATGTCCAAATTGCTTCTCTGCTCGGGAATCTTAGCACCCACTTGTTTTTGTTGTCTCCTTCTCCTGATTTACTCTCTCCTTCACCTTCAGACCGCTATTCCGTCCACTGATTAGCTGCGTCTTAGCCTTCGGAGTTGTCATCTCCGCTCTGATACTACCGAGGCTATGTCGTTTCACTCGACCACATACTTTGCCCTTCTCTATATTTGAGGAAACTGCTGCGTCGCTACAGCTCCTTCTCCTTGTGAAATTTGGCGACTTGGGTCGAGTCAGTGGAAGCTGCAACACGAGAACACGAGAACGTTAATGGCGTACGAATTGTTACAGAAAGAAGTGCAGGGGAGTTGATGATGTTGATCCTGTAACTCTCACCTTCTTGAGTTCAACTTTGGGTGGGGGTCCTTCGTAGTAGAAAGTAGGCACTGGGTTTGCTTTGATGATTAAGCTCTTCCTCAGCTGCTTGATGGCTGCTTCTTGCTCTTCCTATGAAATCGTATCAGTTATCAATCCATAAGTCGAAGCAAAACGGAGAAAATGGTCGAGAATATATGAAACCGCTCAAGTTCACTACTAGCGGATATTGTCCTCTTTGAGCTTTTCCTTTCGGGCTTCCCCTCAAGATTTTTAAAACACGTTTACTAGGGAGTGGTTTCCACACCCTTGTAAAGAATGCTTTGTTCTCCTCCCCAACTGATGTGGGATCTCACAATCCACTCCCCTTCGGGGCCCAGCGTCCTTGCTGGCACACTGCCCAATGTCCACCTCCCTTCGAGGCTTAGCGTCCTCACTAGCACACTGCCCTATAACCTGGCTTTGATACCATTTGTAACAGTCCAAGCCCACTGCTAGCAAATATTGTCCTTTTTGGGCTTCCCTCAAGGTTTTTAAAACGCGTCTTCTAGGGAGAAGGACAAAGTATGCTTCGTTCCCCTCCCTAACCGATGTGGGATCTCATAATCCACCCTTCTTCAAGACCCAGTGTTCTCGCTAGCACTCGTTCATCTCTCCAATCGATGTGGGATCTCATATTTCATCCCCCTTCGGGGCCCAGCATCCTCACTGACACTCGTTCCTCTCTCTAATCGATGTGGGATCTCATAATCCATCCCCCTTTGAGGCCCAACATCCACGCTAGCACTCGTTCCTCTCTCCAATCGATGTGAGATCTCATAATTCATCCCTCTTCGAGGCCTAGCATCCTCGCTGACACTCGTTCCTCTCTCCAATCAATGTGGGATCTTATAATCCACTCCCCCTTCGAGGCCCAGTATCCTCGCTGGCACTCGTTCCTCTCTCCAATCGATGTGGGATATCATAATCCATCCCCCTTCGGGATCCAGCATCCTCGCTGGTACTCGTTCCTCTCTCCAAACGATGTGGGATCTAATAATCCACTCTCCTACAGAGCCCAGCGTCCTCGCTAGCACACCGCCCAGTAACCTGGCTCTGATACCATTTGTAACAGTCCAAGTCCACCGCTAGCAAATATTGTCCTCTTTGCTTTCCCTTAGTTCCCATAGTTCCCATAAAAAAAAGAAGAAAAGAAAGATACCTTTGTTCTAGCTTCATATTGGCTTTTCTCAGCCTGCAAAGCTTGGTGTTTCTCCTCCAACTTATTATAAAACTGGAAAATTACGACAAATTCGGTATAACGATGCGTATAATGCCAACAACATTTCCAGCAATACACGACACCAATTAAGTTACCTCCTTCCTTCTCTCGGCACGACCAGCTGAACGGAAAGTCGGAGCCACGCCAACAGTTACCTTAGATTTCACAGAAGTAGCAGTACTTTACATGGCTAAGGATCATAAAAGCCAAAAACTTACGTGACACGATTTAACTACTAAACGTAAAAACATTTCAACACCGAAAAGGATACGAGGAAGTGATGGACCAATTATCTTCTTCGTCGTGGTACTTTACATGCTTCCTTAACGAAAGAGGCGAACTCGGCTGTAAACAAACCAGAAAAGTTCAAGCATTAATCATTACTGCTAAACTGTTTCAATCTAACTTCACTCTCACAAAAACCCTTATAAATTGAGTACGTTAGGGGTTCGGGCACGTTTCGGAGAGTCGAGGCCTCTCAAGAAAGACGTGGTACAAGAAACGGGCAAGGTTTATCCAATGACAGAAAATAGTACAGAATTAGGAAAGAAACCATAATTAAGATGGAAATTAACCAAAAACGATATCGGTACGAGAAATAAAACTACAAGATCCCTACATCGAATGTCTCGAGCTCGCCCGAAACTACTCTCCAAAATCTGTCCACCTTAAACCCAACAAAAAGCTTGGCCATATTTTAGGGGTCGGCCTAGGCAAACTGTAACAGCCCAAGCCCACTGCTAGTAGATATTGTCTGCTTTGGCCTGTTACGTATCGTCATTAGCCTCACGGTTTTAAATCGCGTCTACTAGGGAGAGATTTCCACCCCCATATAAGGAATGCTTTGTTCCACCCTCCAACCGATGTGGAATCTTATATCCACCTCCTTGGGGGCCCAGCGTTCTCGCTGGCACACCGCCCAGTGTTTGGCTCTAATACCAATTGTAACAGCTCAAGCCCACCATTAGTAGATAGCTCGTTACGTATCACCGTCAGCCTCACGGTTTTAAAACACATCTACCACACCCATATAAGGAACATTTTGTTCCCTCTCCAACCGATGCGGGATCGCACAAACACGTACATATTTCAAACACAATATCATACCTGAGAGTTCTTCTTAGCACTAGGACAATGCAAATTTGGCGAAATGTTGACACCAGCAGTAGTAGTTGCATCGTTTCCGTTACTATGTGTACACGGACCGCGCTTCTCCGTTTCCAACGTAAACGGCTGAGGAACAGTGTACTGTCCTCGCATACTTCCCGGAGATTTTGATCCAATCGGGCTCGACTTCTTATACTCTCCAAGCTTCTCATATTTCTCCTCCACATCAAGATTCGTACTTTTAACACTCAAAACTTCTTGCTTCTCATGATATTTCTCAATGATCAAGTTTTCTTCAGTACATTTCTTCACTTCATACTCCTTAGCCTCAATGTTTCTTTGTGCAACTCTCGGCGCAACATAAACTATGTCACGACCAACACCGTTCGGGTTCTGCTCAACTCGTACACCACGTGGCTCCCTCCCCATGATGCTGCTGCATAAGATGATCAGCTAAATTTAACACTTCCATCCATGAACAAACATCAAAATGAATCTTTTCAACGTTTAAGATCCAAGACACAACATTCCAAACTACGCGTTTTTCAACGAAGAACACCGAAAAAGCTTAATTCAGCTCCACGTACGATAGCCAAACTACGGTCGAGCAATCGACATGATATAATCAAACAAACACATAAGAAACAAGCAAAAAGAACAGAAATATGATTAGAAATCGCCACAAACTTACTGAAACAAGCAAGGATTGAAGAGATTCAAGCAATCTGAATTGTAGAACAAAGAAGAACACAGAATTTTTGAGAAGACAACCAAAAGACAAAGCAATCTTTAAACCTCACGAAGTCAAAGAAACCAACCGACCACTCATAATGGAAAATGACTCCACAAAAGACACCTTTAATCCTTTGACCAAAACAAAAAGATAAGCATTGAAATAATATTCGTTACACACCACTAACTTTTCAAAGCGAAGAACAACCAATCAAAGAGAAGGAAATTACATGGAATTAGTCAGATTTAAGCAAAAACACGTCCAAAATTTCGAAATTAGAACAAAAACAACA